GCATCTGAAGGTGTGGAACAGAGGGGAAAACTGTAGCTTAGCACTTTTAATTGGGGCAACGAGAGATTGTAATAGAAGGATGCTTTCAAGAGGAAGGCTGGCTATATCTGCTCCTCTTTAGCAATATGGTACTTCAGTGGTTATGTGCCCCATTTTACAAACTGGATTTGTTTTAATATATCTTGCTCAGATCTATGCCAATAATGGTTTAACAAAAATATAATTGTCTCAAGCACCTTTTCTCTTTCTCATGCAAACAGTAGCTATAAAGAAGCCACCCCTAAAATATTCTGCCCCTTAGAGAAGCAGAGGGAGCCACTCGTTTGTTATCAACAGACTGCACTGGCATGAATTAATTTTGCACAATGTGAAGGGATGGCTTATCTAAGTAACTGTCAGGCTTCCCACTGTGTAGAAGAGCATCAATGCAGTGAAGGGACAGCAGCAACTTGGCTGTAATTGCTTGCCATCAAGCTGATTGCAACGTGATGACCCTTCGCAAGAGTTTTCTACCTGTAAAGTACTCAGGTGTGGTTTATTAGTGCCTTCTTCTGGAGGCAGTCTAAGATGTAGTTTGCCTGTAGTCACATAAGCTGGAGCAACGTGTTATGTGAAGTAAATGGGTAAGTTTCACCTGCTGTGCTGTGAATTGGAAGTCCATTATACTAGTTTAGTGTTAACCTGGAACTAACCATTCACACAATACCATTTTCACCAGAGGGCAGGGGGAAGAGTGACATTTAAAAGATGGAAATTTTTATCCAAAGGCCCTAGCAAGCTGTACTCAGAGAAAATGACCACTTTCATTTGGGATCCCCACACTATCACACTGATTCAAATTCTAACTTTTGTCTGAAAATGTGAGGATAGAGAAGATGTAGTTTTCTAGGTGTTGGTGGGCTGCAATTCACATCACTCATCACTATCTGCTATATTGGTAAGGACTGATGGTGAAAATCGAGCAGTATTTAGGTCACACACTCTCTTTCTGAGGATGACATAGCACATTAAAACATTTCTGGTTCCCACTGTGTCATGCTTTCACCAGATGCATCATCCAGTGAAGACAGGTTAGTGCCTCTGGAACTCAACGTGGGAGAAGAATTGCCAGACCTAGCACACCCTGGACCCAGGAAGCCAAATTGGATGTTGGTGGATACTCAGAGGACAAGAAGCCTGAACCCTATATAAACATCAGAGACTGTGTGTTCATGAGAAAATACTTGTCTTCTGGTTTATGAGTGCCTTGTATTATTTGCTGTTGATTCCCTGCTGTATCTGACTTTTTGGACTGCATGACTATGCTTTGGGACTCTATGTTTTGTTGCATGATTCTCGGACACGATGGACTTTGGCTGTTTTTGATTTAGGCTTTAGATCTCCTGCACCTGGTTTACTTTACATTCTGGTAACATAAGAATATAAGAAGAGCCCTGCTGGATTAGGCCAAGGGCCCATCTAGTCCAGCTTCCTGTATCTCACAGTGGTCCCACCAGATGCCTATGGAGTACACGAGACAACTAGATACCTGTCTCTTGAAACCCCTTCCCTGCATCTGGCATTTGTGGTACCTTCCTTTTAAGCCTGGAGATTATGCATCCCCATCATGGCTTGTAACCTCTGATGGAGTTTTCCTCCAGAAATCTGTCCAATCCCCTTTTAAAGGCATCTAGGCCAGATGCCATCCCCACATCCTGTGGCAAGGACTTCCACAGACTAACAACACGCTGGGTCAAGAAATATTTTCTTTTGTCCCTTCTCACTCTCCCAGCACTCAATTTGAGTGGATGTCCTCTGGTTCTAGTATTGTGTTAGAGGGAAAAGACCTTCCCTCTATCCACTTTTTCCATCCCCTGCATAACTTTATACACCTCAATCATGTCCCCTTCTCAGGTGCCTTTTCTCTAGTCTAAAGAGCCCCAAACACTGTAGTCTTTCCTCAGAAGGGAGGTGCTCCAGCCTCATTTTAGCCACTCTCTTCTGCACCTTTTCCAGTTCCACTATGTCTTTTTTGAGGTGCAGTGACCAGAATAGTAGACAATACTCCAGGTGCGGCCTTACCATTGTATTGTACAATGGCATTAGAATGTTGGCTGTTTTATTTTCAATCCCCTTTTTAATGATATCTAGCATGGAATTGGCCTTCTTAACTGCCACGGCACATTGGGTTGACACTATCATCGAACTGTCCACCAGCACACCAAGACCTCTTTCCTGATCTGTCATGGACAGCTCAGATCCCAGCAGCTGATACATAAAGTTTTGATTTTTTGCCCCAATGTACATTACTTTACATTTTCTTATATTAAAACACGTTTGCCATTTTGCTGCCCATTCTCCCAGTTTGGAGAGATCCTTCTGGTGCTCTTCACAATCTGTTCTGGTCTTCACCACCTGATAACATTTTGTGTCATCTGCAAACTTAGCCACCTCACTGTCTCCAGGTCATTTATGAACAAGTTGAAAAGCACCAGCCCCAGGACAGATCCCTGGGGCACAACGCTTTTCACCTCTCTCCATCATGAAAATTGCCCATTGACACCTACTCTCTGTTTCCTGGTTCTCAACCAATTCTTAGTCCATAAGAGGACCTGTCCTCTTATCCCCTGGGGCTGACCCCACCCCAGGAGCAGGACACGCTGACATCCTCTATTGAAATGGAAAAGACTTCTGTATCAGCATCCCCAACTTTTGGAGCTTGCTCACATTTGCAATTTTGAGGAAGTGTCATGAGTGCTAACACAAAATGGCTACCATAGAGATTTCATTTTACAAAATGGATGCTACTTGGCACTGGAAGTCATCTGTCCCTCTCACTTGCAGATAACATAGTACAAAATATCAGCACATTAAATATACTAAAATATATAGCATTAGAACTAGGCATGCTTCTCAACTTTTAAAATATAAAATTCCAAAAGAGAGTATTTATGTAACATTAAACACCAGCCTAGCTAGTTAAACATTTCTAGATATGCCGGCATGTCTTCTTATAAAACACAGGGATGCTCCTAACACATGGGACTCATTAAGGCTTGGCATTCTTGTTTAAGTGTCAAGCCACAAATGTTTAAGGAGGGTCTGATGTGGACTAGAGTTTTCTATGACTGCTCCTTCCCTCCCCCATCTTCTCTACTTCCTCTTCTAGAGCAAATTATGGCAAATCTGCTTCTTTTCCTTACCGTTGTTTGCTCAATAAAGGTCATAGAGAGATGCCACCATCAGAGTGAAGCTACCAGAGAGGAAGCAGCTAACTAAATCAAATACCCAGATTCTACATTGTATTCAGTACCTCCTAGTCCTGTGAAGTATAATAGATTCTGAAGAGTGATAATAAATTCTAGTTAGCTGCTGCAGATGTAGCAATAACAACAGTGCAGTACCTCCACTTTTTCTTAAATCACAGCTATTACTTAAAGAATTAGTCATTCTTTCCTTTCTGGAGTAAGCAACTGTCAAGCACTGAAAATGTACATTATGAAGTGGAGCACACTGTAGCAGAGATAGAAGGTTATTAGCCTCACATTTGACTGCAACATCATTTAAGTTCTACCACCTACTGATTTCATTGAGCTTTTAAGATCCTCTGTTTTTTCAACACAGGAAACCATTTACAACCTGTTTTGTTCGAAAGTCTTCTTGAAACAAAACTCTCTTTTCAGTACAGCCAATTTAAACTGAACTGACAAGTTTAAGACTACATATTGAGACAGAAAAATGTCACTATTGTTTGGTAGCAGGTTGAGCTGAAAGTTCGGTGGCAACAGCTACAGCCATCTAAATCATGTGAAAGCATAAGAACTCTAAGAGACATAGGCTAACAATGCTTTCCATTCTACCCAATGCATGTACCAAACAGACTAGGCTGATGAAGTGCCTCCATGGGATTCTTCTAGTGAACTGCAATAGCATGATCTTAGATGGCAACAGAGTTCCTTTATTTCTTTTATCTTTTTGCAAACTCTTGAGAACTTAACAAATACTATTGTTGCTTTCTGTTTTGTAAAGTTCAGTGAAAAAGAGTTGTCTACAGTGAAGATGTCAGGGCAGTGAAAACATCTGCAAAGTGATACTCGGTAATTCTTGATGTAAGTGGTGGGAGAAATTATTATTACCATATTATAATGGAAAAATGTCAATGTGTTGGAACTGTAAAAATAGTAATGTTGCAGCAGGAGAGCAGTTACTTCCTCACTTGACAGCCACATCTTACATGGTGCTGACTTAATATTGTCCTGATAAAGGCACATTACATTTTTTTCTTGTTCTGCACCCTCCGTCATGAAGTAGTAGTTTTCAGTTGTAAAAAATGACAGCAGGCCAGGGAGTTGGTGCATATATAGTATAAGTTAAAAAAAATAGATAAAATTTCTTCATTGACATAAATGAAATGTTGCATTCTACAGAAAATATCCCAAATGAGCAACTGAAAACATGTTTCTTTTGCATAATTTATTTTGCTTATGTTCATCAGAGTGGGGATCAAAGCACTAGTGCGAAATGCTGTGTCTTGCCGCTTTATATCTTAAGATCCCCACTGAATAGTTAAATCCCCTCTTTAGATAATTCTAATGAACACTGCCATATGTCATCAATTTTATTTTGGCATCCATCAGGACTGCAAATGTGCTTTAAAAAATGAAAACAATAACTTTCAATACATTCTAATTTGCCCAGTACTGTATTTAGTTCTGTTCCTCTCTGTGCCTGAGCAGAGGAATAGAATATACATCAAGTCAAATATGGGTCCAATATCAAACTTAAGGACTGAACTGCTTACGATTTGATAATGCTCAGGGATTTAAGTCAATTTAAAATACGAATTGGCAGTATCCAGTGTGGTGGGGGGGTAATACTGGTCCTTTGAAAAACCGGCTCTATATTTTGCAGCTGTAGGCATAAAGACTTAGATGCAAGCCATTTTAAGTGTTAAGTGTTAAGATCCCAGCTTGCCTCTCCAGATGGACAGAAAAGAACAGTGGAGCTATGAAAGGCATTACCTTGGATGTGGATGCTGTTTGGCTGAAAAGAGGTGCGAGTTAATGGCTCATAGGCTTTCAAATGAATTCCTCCAAGTTGCTGGGGGTTGGAAGACGGTGGTGTCCTCTTCTGCACAGAAGGAGGGAGAACAGAAACTCTCCCGGGGCTGGCGTGGCGAGAAGAAAAAGAAGCAGATCCTGAAAATCTGAGAAATTAAGAAAACAACAACACACCATAGTGAATGGTCAGATTTACTGCTCCATAGGTTCATTCACTGATTAATTGTCTAGTTCTTAATACATTTTTTCAGTGCCAGAATGGCAAAGAAGTATGAAGTGTGGGTTCCTAGATGGATGGGGGATGAATTAAATCTAAACGGTTTAGGGCCTCGATATCTGGCGGAACGCCTTCTTCCGCCAAGTTCTACCCGTGTCACGAGCCAGGAGGTGAGGCTGAGGAGCTTAACGCCGAGGGAGGCCCGGAAGGAGAAGACAAGAAATCGGGCCTTCTCAGGGGTGGCTCCTCGCCTCTGGAACAATCTCCCTCCTGAGATTCGCGGGTCCCCCTCGCTGGGTATCTTTAAGAATCAGCTAAAGACATGGATGTTTGGGCAGGCCTTTCCATCATATTCCTCCTGACCTCCTTCTTCCCTTTTTACTATTTCTGTTTTGCACTCTATGTAATTGTATTGTAGTGTTTTTACTGATTAGAATTGCTTATTTATACTGTTACTGTATTTTATTGTTGTTAGCCGCCTAGAGTGGTCCTCACCGACCAGATAGGTGGGGTATAAATTAAATAAATAAATAATAATAATAATAATATTTTATTTATATTTACATGTCATCTTTCTCTCCAGAGTGGATTCATGGTATCTCACAAGAGGGTGAAACAACAGGATAGACACAATTAACATACGATATAAAATTAAAGAACAATTAAAGAAGTAACAACTTTTAAAGCAAGGTCCAGGCTAGATCTGTATTACAATGATTTCATACCCATCATCTCCTTCATGTTTCACCTGCAACATGGATGTGAAGATCTCCTGACAGGTGCATTTTGGTTTTACCATCAGGGGCAGAAGAAAAAAAGATCTCAATGGATGAAGTTTCCCTTTATCCTTCTCCAGTCCATCTCCTTAATCCCAAACCTCCCATGTGGAACGAAATGTTTCCCATCTCATTTCCCACTCTTTACTTCTACATATTAGAAGCCCTACATACACGGGCTTTCAGAAGAAAGGGCTAGGCATGAGAACATCCCACCCCCATCAGAGCAGAAGGAAATGAACTGTTCCTGTTCTTATCTGCCTTGGCTGGGTACAGGAAGTGGTTCATTTCTTTCACATGGAATAAGAGAGATGATTATAAAATTTTCTGGCCTAAATCCAGTGGATATTCCCAACTAGAGTGAACCCAATGAATAATGGGACTTATTAAACCAACTCTTACGTTAACTCCCTTGATGCCATTATTTTATTTGAGTTGATGATTCTCAAGTTGCAGACTGATCCCCAAAACGTCATAGAGTAGAACGGTTTTAAGTTAAATGGGGCAGTCTAGCAGCTATTTTGAAAAAAACAGAAAATGCTTGATTATATACATTCACAGGAGAATATTATTGACAGGGCTTGAAAAATCCACTTGTCCACTGTGACGAGTGAAAAAAATGCAGATTCCCTGCTCCCAGTTTCAACCCAACGACCTGGCTCCCTAAGAGGCTGGGTGCTTTTGCTTTCAATTTTATTTTTGCTGGAGACTTTCAAAAGAAAGGCATTCAAAATACAAGCTTCATGACCCCACAGGCACGCAGGTAATAAAGCAACCCAAGTCTGAGGGTATATTTATTTTGGGTTTGTATGAATCGTTATGTAGAAGGTGCCTAGTTTAAATTTAAATTTAAGTTTAAATATAAATTGCAAGGCTATAGTCCAGTCATGCTGACTGGTGAATTTCTTGACTGACTGGTGAGGCATTCTAAAATTTTTCAAGCTTCCCGGGATCAGAATGATGCACAGATGGGCATTTTCAGGAGGGTGTGTGTGTGCAAAATTCACCTGCAAAATTTAATAAATGAAAACTGTCCTTAATTGTCAATGAGCAACAGGGAAGAGAAAACACTTCAGATCTCTTTACATAAAAGCACAGTTTTAAAGATTTTGAATTGGATTTAACATCTAAGAAAGGCTTTGGAATGATAATAGAACATTTTGAATAGCCAGACAGTTCTCCTTTTTAGCAGACTTTAGTGGTCTTTATAATGATTTATGAATCACTTCAGGAATTCCTGGCTTGTTCAAGTTGGTGGCTATAGCATTCTACTTATACTGTTGGCCAAGTTTCAATCCAGACTTGCCCCAAATAAATCACAGTGTACTACTGAAGGAACAGCAGATTAAATTTTGTATGTCTAACAATCCATACCAGCATCCAACCACCAGGGAACTGCCACCAGAAATTGTGGCTCATGTCCAGCCATCTCTGCTAGTAACCATAAAGCGGACTATTACCTTTTTACTATATATATAAAAAAACAAAAAACAAAAAGGAGTTCTCACTTCAAAGCTTGAGAAGATCAGCTCATACAAAGGTACTACCCTCTTTTCCACTGTTCAGAACCTGGCCCTCCAACATTTCACAGAGGAAAATAGTGATAAAGTGTTGTGTTTACTTCATGTGCCTCATAATCTAAACAATATGATGGCCAATCAAATAACTGAGGGGAAAAAACAGATCTATACAATACAACCTAATGCAATGCAACCGTAACATTCAATTGTCATTATATAACTTGTACAGAACTCACAAATAACAAAGCAAACTTGTATACCTACAGTATTTTCTCCATAATACCTGTCCCTCATATTTTCACAGCACTGTTCCTCTGCCACACTATTAGACGTTGCTCAGTGATTTTTCTACTAAGTGACCTCGCATTTGTTTATGCTAGAGTTTTGCACTGATCTTCAAACATGTTTATAAGTACCCTGACCAAAATATTTCATGTTCTGTTAATATTATTAAGAATATTATTAAGTTTAAAGAATATTAAGAATATTATTAAGTTTAAATAAAACTGTCCAGCTTTCTTTAAAAATTAAACATAAATATAAAATCAAAAATAAAAGAGACCTGACCACAGGTTTGCAATTTGAAGTTATTTCTTGAAAAAGAAATAAAGTATACATACTAGACTTCTGACCTCATGTTACATACAGTACTTCTTTGTTGCTTCTTAGAGAAATGTGTGTGTGTGTGTTTTGTGCCATCAAGATGGAAACTCTAATAGAGCTTTCAAGGTAAGTGAGATATTTAAGGAGTGGCTTTACCAGTTCCACACCCCTAGTGAGTTTCCATGGACAAGTGGGGATTTGAACCCTGGTCTCCAAAGTCCTTAGTCCCAGCACTCCACTCCACTACAATGGGAATCCACCTTAGAAAAATACTGAAACATAACAACATTTGGTATCTTGATGAGCAGTTAGCTGGAGAAAAGGGAATCAGTACACTAACAAAAGAACCTTGCGTGTCTAAGAATCAATACCAACTTCAAGAGAAAGCAGTACTGTATTTGCTGGAAAAGATAATACTGTTGGGAAATTTGAAGGCAACAGGAAAAGTGGAAGACCAAATACACAATGGATTGACTTCCTAAATGAAGCTAGAGGGTTGAGTAGAGATGGGGGTATTCGTATACAAATATCCCCACAAAGGTGGAAATAATGAGGGTCCACTCATGATTTTGCCGCTGCTACCGGCTCTGCTGCATCTTCCTATCACACAGTTCTCTGCAATGGATTAGCCACTCTCCAACCTAGCAGAGAGGCTTGTCATCATGCCTCCTGCCAGGACAGGTAATTGATTGTGGACAACACCACGATAATAAAGCACCACGGAATAGTGGTGAAATTGTGAGTGGATTTGTTATTTCCACCTGTGCGGGGATATTTGTATACGAATATGAATACTGCCCCCTCTCTAGGGTTGAGTTTGCAAGAGATGAGTATGGCTCTTGAAGACAGGGCATTTTGGAGATTCATAGGGTCACCAGAAGTTGCAGGTGATTTGACAGCACATAACACTAAGAAGTAATGATGATGATTAATATTGAGAGTACCTCTACACTGCACAGGTAATACAATTTGATATCACTCCAACTGCTATAGCTTCATCCTACAAAATCCAGGGATTTGTAATTTGCTGACATGCTTCGAATTTCCTGCTAGAAAGCTCTATAGCACTACCTGAACTATAGCAGAGAATTTAAGTAGATGCCAGGATTCTTTAGGATGGAGCTATGGCAGTGAAATTTATTTCAAACTACTATAAGTAGGTAATGTAGGTAGTCTGCAACAATAAGGAAAAAAATTACACAGCCACAGATGGATCATATCATATTGCTTAACTGTAAAAGAAAAAAAAAACACTATGACACTCTTTCATCCACTTACATTTACACGAAGGATCATTGAAAGACAGATATAGCATCCCTCCGTGCAGAAATTAAACTTCCAAGGGATGGGAATTCTAATGTTTACAACATATGATCTTATTCCAAAGGTCAAGAAACAATGGAATTTGAATGTATGGGTCTGCAACGGATTGAATGTTGCCTTACTGACAGGCAGACCAAACTGTCTTATTTATATCCTACTTATTTTAGCAAGATTATTTTACTTTTGGTCCAACTTATGTATTTAAGGGCATCCAATAAGTCTATCAGTAAAGCAAGGGTGGGAAATGTGTGATTTCTCCCAGATGTTCTTCAGCTTGGACTGTAGCTCTTATCAGTTTAAGCCAGCATGCTCCCAGCACAACAAGGAAAGTCAGACACTCCTTATCCCTATTATAAAGCAATCGCCATGATTTTCCAATGAAAAGGCCCAGAAAATGGGGTAAGCTTGTGCATGGTATGAATCAAAATTCGGGACAAGCGGCAGATGACAAGAACTGGGCTTTAATGTCATCAGTGAAGAGCAAAAGCCTAATTCTAAGGAATTCATGTCATCAATTCCTGAAGATATCACTAAGAGCTTTAGTGTTTAATCCATAAAAGGTTGTACACTTTCCTTCAATGGAGCTACAAGGATAACAAGAAACAGCCCTCCCCCCCCCGCCCAAGAAGACTCATGGACTCTCCACCTCAGCAGAGCAGGACTGCAATCACTAGGTAATATCATTTTGGCTTTAACCTGATCTCAAT